CGATATAAATTGCGGTAACGAATATATATATAGAGATGCATAACGTAAAAAAAAGCGATATAAACGATAAATATATATATATATATATAGATAGATAGATACATATATATATATATATAGAGAGAGAGAGATAGATAGATACATATACATATATATAGATAAATACATATACATATAAATATAGATAGAGTATTTACCGGTGTTTCCATAGTAGCAGCGGACGGTGGTGGATGGCGGCGGTAGACGGTGGTTGGTGGCGGAGGAGGGTGGTGGACGGTGGAAGGTCGCTGATGTCGTTATACGGTAGTCTATGACGGTATGTCGAAGAATGACATCGATATTGGTCGGGATGGTCGGTGGAATGGTCAAAGCTCGTTTTTTCGCTCGGTTTTTCCAGAGAAAACGGGCGGTGGGATGGTCGGTGGTGGGGATGAATGGTCCCCCACATCCAATTTATATAAAACGTTAAGTAATAAAACAAAATCATCGTCAAATCAACGTCAAATCGGCGTCAAATCAACGTCATAGAGTGTCATATCATGAAAAACCGCGAAATAAGATATAATGTCTGATTTACGAAACCCAAAACAGATAAAAATAATTTTTGCTTCTCCATAATTATAAAGGTTTATTTTTAAACCTTTACCCATGAAATTTGGTTCAAAAAAAGTTAAAAAATACAACTTCAATGGCGTATCATTTTTATTAAAAATACAAAAAAAAAAATACAACTTCAATCATCCGGTTTTTTTATAACGAAAAACCGTGAAATTTAAAATTAAATACGTAAAAAGACACGCTTTATGTATTTTTTCATTTTTATTAAAAACACCCCTTAATTGTTAAATAAAAAACACAAAATGACAAAATAGAGGTCAAATTTCGTCAATCAGTTATTATATCTGATTTACGAAACCCAAAACAGATAAAAATAATTTTTGATTCTCCATAATTATAAAGGTTTATTTTTAAACATTTACCCATGAAATTTGGTTCTAAAAAAGTTAAAAAATACAAGTTCAATAGCATATCAGTTTTATTAAAAATACCAAAAAAAAAATTAAAAATAGCAGGATCGCCCCCGGGGAGGGTGATCGGACAGTCTGGATCGCCCCGGGGGCGAGGTCAAACACGGTCAACGAGGTCAAACGCACGGTCAACGAGGAATGAACAGTAAATATTTTTTTTAAGACTTAAGGGGGGATCGCCCCCATAGTGTACGGATCGCCCTCGGGGTCATTCCGATAAAACCTCTAAAATGTGGTTATTTTGAGGCATAGAGTTGTGTAAACCGGTTATTTTTTATAAATTTCCCCATTATTTATTATTATTATGATATATTCATACTTACTATTATTATTATTATTATTATTATTATTATTATTATTATTATTATTATTATTATTATTATTATTATTATTATTATTATTATAATTTTATCTTCTTCATTTATATTAT